AACGTGGAAGCTCATCGGTATTCATCCGAGTGAGGTTGTTGATGTAGGCGCGAGTTGTCATCTCGCTAGGCTTACGCATCTTGCGACGCATGAAGCGTTTCTGTTTTTCGAGAGCCTTGTAAGGACAGGCTGCTTCGATAACCGCGTTGATTCCAAAGGTGATGTCAGCATCGCTTAGAGCGGGTTCCGCTGCACCGTCCCATGCGGCTTGGACACGAGCCTGGAAGGCTACTTCGGTTTCTCCAGAAGTCACATCGCGTGGAGGAATTGCGTTCACAGCAATTTGTCGTAGGGCGTTATGACGCACGGCACGATGGCCTGCACACCCAGCTTCGTAGGCACTCTTCGCAGAGCTGGAAGTCATCTCCTTGAGAAGGCGATGTTTGTCGTCGGGACTAGCAAGATTGATGCATTGAGTCCAACGAAGACCTTCTCCATATTCGTAGCCCGCTTGATGGTCTGGCGTGGAGTGTTGGAACCATTGATGATGGCTACCTTGAAGGTGTATTTGGCACTGTTTGCATCTGCAGGAGCGGTGCGAAGTTTGTAGGTGGTTGCACGAGAATCGTCGATCTCGGCGTCTTCGTCATTGTCGACGAGAGGAAGAATGGGTTTGTCACGCAACTGTTTCTCGAAGTTGGTGAACGCATGCTTTCCTTGAGCAATCTTCATGGTGAAGGAATAGGTTGAGGGTAGCTGAAAGCTATTGTGTTTGTTAACAAAATGCACTACGCTAAAAGCTAGTGTAACGATCTTTCGAGTGTTTTGTGTTTGAGAGAATGAAAGTTATGAGAGAGATTAGAAAGCTATGAAAACTAATCAACGAGAGAGATCACCATCAAAGGATCGTAGATCTGGTCTCCCGCGGGAGACTATAAAGTGTGATAGAGTAGGCTTCTAAGTGTTCCTTTCATCATCTCCGATATGAGTTCAGATCCAGTGGAGAACCAAAGCTGGTCTCGGGGACTGACTTTACACCATCCATCAAGGTGAAATCCACTGATGGGATCGTCACGCTGATCAAACCAGTCGACAACTACAAAGATCACAAGTCACTGGGATGTTTCAAAGGCCCGGCTGGAAATCTCACAGCACAGAAAGCAGCCCTGATCAAGAAATGCACCCATTATACCAGGGTTCTGAATGGGTCCCCACTGAATCGACGCGAAGCCAACATGTTCTATCGAAGCATCTTCCTATCGAGTGTTGGTTACTGCTTGGAGACCACCTTCTTCAAGGATGTCGATCTTGATACCATTGAATCGGCTCCACGCCGAGCTGCACTTCAGAAGATGGGGTATCGATCGAATACTGTGAAAGTGATCTGCTATGGTTCCTGGAAGTTGGGGGGTATAGAAATGTTTCGACTTGCCGACAAGCAGGGAATCGGGGTCATCCAGCAGTTCTTAAAGCACTGGAGGACGAGGTGCACCGACATTGGAGACCTAAGTGAAGTCACATACGCATGGTTGCAATTCCATGCCGGAATTGGCCGGCCCATCCTTGAGGATCTGGAAATCGATTGTCACCTCCCTGTAGGGCTGTTTCAATGCATGCGAAGGTTCCTTCAATCCATTGGAGGCACGATTGAAGTCCACGACGCTCACATTCCGCCGTTGCAGCGCGAGCAAGACTCCTACATTATGGATTGGGTGGGGTGGTATGGGAATTTCTCCGAGGCAGACTTGAAACGAATCAACTATGTGCGTCTGTACTTCCAAGTTGTCACGGTAGCTGACATCACAACGGCATGTGGCACCTACATCCGGGAGGAGTTCTGGCATGGCTTTTCCAGTCCTCTGATGCCTCGCACCACCTACTTCAAGAGATTTCAAGATCGACCCAGGGATCCCAGGACTTGGTGGTTGTGGAGGAAAGCGTTATCCCTCTTCGCTCCGAATCTGACGTTGGATGTACCCCTGGGGAGGTGGCTCGTCTCTGCTGACAAGCTCCGGATGCGCCACAGGTTCTTCTACGAAGTCGATGCCAACGTCGTCTATCAACAAGTTGACAAGGAAGAGTCCGAATTCTGGATGTTCCAACATCCAGTCCCGAACAAGGAACGGACAGTTCATCGCTGGGAGTTCGAAGATGAGACCTACCTGGACGCCAGCATCCTACACAACTCTGTGCCACTGGATCCCTACTTCCCCCGATCCTGCACCTCTGTCCAACCAGACTCTGGAAAGCGGCGAGTCCTAGACCTGACCCTCTTCAACAAGCGTGAGACAGTGGTAGTTGGTAGTGGTTTCACAGCAGGCATTCCTGCTCGTCCACTACCACCCACACCGACAACATTTGAGGATTTCCTTGCCACTTTGGAGCCTTGGGAAACAGCTCTTTATGACGAGCTTGAGTGGATGGTGGATGCCTACTCAGTCCTGCAGATTGTCACAGCCATGCCCTTCTGGGTGGCGAGTGATGGGGCTGCAGACATTGACGCAGGAAAGGCGAGTTTTGCTTGGGTTCTGGCAGACAATCGTGGTCAGATTGTGCTTCGGTCCTCTGGTTCCGTTTTTGGTATGGTTCCGACTTCCTACAGGGCGGAGGCCTATGGCATTCTATCCCCTACTTGCCTTCTTCGACGATTGCTGGAGTTCCACGATCAGACCAGCATGAAGAATTATGTACACTTATGCGACAATGAATCTGTTACAAATAAGTGTGCTGGCTGTCTCGAGTACGAGGGCTGGTACCCCAATGATTCGTTGGACTCCGACTGGGATGTCCTGCAACAGATCGAGGATTCGTTTCGGGCTGCCGTTACTGTGCCAAAGATGGAGCACATCAAATCGCACCAGGACAAACACAAGGCCATCGAAACACTTCCCCTAAAAGCACAACTGAACTGCATAGCTGACAAACTGGCAGGCAGTTACATGAACAGACACATGAAACAGGATCACTCCAAGGTACTCCGATTTCCGGCAAACCTGGCCCAGCTGCACCTTCCCAAAGGCACATGCACATACAAGCTTCCCAGAACACTGCGGCATCTAAGGAACGACCAGCCCTTGTTTGACCACATTGTTAAACTGAATCCGGGTTGGGACGACGACACCCCTGCTCTGGTTGATTGGACAGCCCATGGTCGAGCTGTCAACCGTCACAAGATCCACAAACCGACAATTGTGAAGTTTCTATTTCAATTGTTGCCAGTTGGGAAACGGGTCCACCGAGACGACCCCAAGTATGATCACCACTGCCCCCGTTGCGGTGATGATCACGAGACAGAGACCCATGTTTACAGATGCCCGCATGTTGACGTGGATTTGTGGCGAGGAACCATGCAACGAGCGATCAGCACAAGGTTGCGCAAGGATTCCACTGACCCCTTCCTCCTTGAAATTGTTTTGGATGGACTACAATACCACTTTGAAGATCGATTCCTCCACCCATGGCATTACCCAGACAGGTATAGGGATCTTGTTGACACTCAAAATCTCATTGGTTGGGATAACTTCCTGAGAGGACGTTTGTCCACGCACTGGGCTAAGCATCAAGATGCATATCTGCATCGGGTCGGCTCCCAGGAGACAACCAAAACAGGGCAGCTCTGGGTCACCAACATGGCCTCACTGCTCATCCAGCAGTGGTGGAACCTGTGGGAGGATCGCAATGCTGCCAGGCATGGCAAAGACAGGGAAGACCAGTGGAAAAAGAAGCACGAACAGCTTCAGCGGGAGGTGGAACTCATTTACGAGAAAGCGGATCTGATCCCAGCGGAGCTGGTGGATTTTATCTTCAAGCGACCGCTTGACGAGCAAATGGCAAAGAGCCCAGGCGCCATCAAAGCGTGGCTTGCCAATTGGCTGCCCGTCGTCGACAAGGCACTCAGGGACGAGCATGCACGCACAGTGCAGAACACTGACACAGGGTAACTACGCACAGAGGGGTCTTACCGTAGCAATAGATGGCAATCCAGCCAAGGGTAGCTAGTTAGTCGTACAGCACCCTCCGGAGTTTTGTTAAATTTCTCCGGTGGGGGGCTTACACTAGGCCCATCCTAAGTGGGCGCACTTGTGCGCCTGAGGTATATGAGTTCGTCACGGCACCGTTCAGCGGATCGTCTGACGAGGTGTAGCCTTTAAAATAAAATTTCGTTATTTTTTTTTAAAGTGTGATAGAGTAGGTTGCGGTAGTAATCCTACGTATCTCCACGATCCTAAAACGGAACGCGTGGAAGATTCGTCTAGCATGGATCTAGTAGCGTGGAAGTACTCCACGCTGGCTAAATATCTAGAGCGATGTTTCATCATCAACCTAGTATGACTAGAGCGGTCATTGAGAACCCTGTCTCAATAACTATTCACGAGAGACTCAGTCATGAGTCAAACTCAAACCCTATCTAGGATCGAGTCGCGAATAAGGCTAAGAGCCGTGTATTGCAGTAGTGCACCAGTAGTTTGCGTGACTAGAATACAAAAATTTAGCAACCTCCATGTCAAAAGAATCACCATCATGCCAAAAGATATCTAGCTTGCCAGGAAGATTTGAGGTGGATGATATATATATAGACCTGATAGTTAACCAAAACTATAGTGAGGCGATATACGTTCTTCTTTGGTGCGTTCTTTCGTGCATACACATATGTCTTTCGTCTGTGCTGCCTTGTCCGTTTTTTGTTTCCATGAGGGCCTAATTGTTTCCTTTTCGTGCACTTTGTGAGTGTGACAATTTCTCCCACAGGACCGTTAAATTATGGTTATAATTGTATATAGGTATACATGTATGGATAGTAGTATACCTGGTCTGTGCAAGGATCGAATCATGCGACTGCCCTCCCTGTCATGCCAACTTGGGTCACATACATTCTGCGGCTGGTTCGAACTCATTACTTAGCCAAAACTCTGGCAGATCACTCTGCGCTTTCTGTAGAGTGAAACTACAGAGCAAATTCATTGTTTGGCAGAGTTTTTCGTTTCCAGTGCCACACACCAGTCACCACAGGACTTACTCCCACCACAGCCAACACTTCACCTGGATACCAAACTGTGCCCATGGAGGAGCCATCCAAGCAAGTTCCCACTCTTGGACTCAACCAAGTAAACAGTGATATTATAAGACCCAGGTCCAAACCATCCCTCTTCTCTAACCTAGAAGGCACATCTCCCATGGACAAGGTAACTCAAGGCAGGATTCCAGACAGATTTGGTGATCCTGGAGACCCTGGTGGCTCAGGATACCATAGTGGTGATGACAGCTACAGAGGCTTTCGCCGAAAGGGCAGGCATGGCGGTCCCCCAGGAGGAGGACCCCCTGGAGACCCTTGGGATCCCGATGGTGGTGGTGACCCTCCAGCTGGCCCTGGAGGAGGTGGAGGAGGAGACGGCCCCAGACGCAAGTTGTTCCATGCCAAGCCGGATTCCAATGCGTACCCCACCCTCAAGTCCAACAAGGACTTCGACCAATGGTACAGCATGTTTATCACAACGGCTAGGGCACAGGGATTCCATGCCCTCTTTGACTCCAATTATGTGCCATTGGACCAGGAGTCAGCTTTTGAGCTCCGTAGGATGAACGAATGGTTCTACGCGGTCCTGCAGAAAATCATCAAGACAACCAAGGGCAAGGTGATAGTTAAGGAACATTTTCATGATTGTGACTGCTTTCACATTCTACATGCACTGATCCAGGATGCTCACACCTCTGTGGAAGGTACACTGGAGTCCATGGAGACACTCAACTGGCTCACCAGGGTCAAGTACTCCACAACCAAGGGCTCTGCAGTGGAGTTCATCATCAACTACGATGAGGTTCTCACACGATACAACGACTCCAAGACGAACGAGCAGGATAAACTCAGTGATAGTATCCAAAAACTGTTCCTACAACAGGCATTCATCGACATCAAGGTTCTCAATGACATCAGCGCCAGAGAGTAGGAAAATATGTGCAGCAATGGTGCACACATGTCCTACTCGTATGAGAAATACAAGGAGGTCCTGACCAACGCTGCTACCAGGTTTGATGTCAATCACAAGCTTCTAGTACCCACCGGCAGATCCCGCAGGGCCAACATGGCTGTGATCGACGAGTCTGAAGACGACGCCGGGCAACCTGATGGCATGGATACGATGGATGACCTCACTCATCTCCAAGCCTTTGCGGCCATGAGGGACCCCTCTGTCCGACTCCCAGACCAACATTGGACCCAACTTTCTAGTACAGGCAAGAAGAACTGGCATCAATTTGATGACCACGACAAGAAGGTACTGATGGAATCTAAGCCACCAGCACCCGCCAGTCGCCAAGCCAACGTTGCCAACAGCATGATGGACCCAGATAGTGAAGCTGACCCTGCAGCCGGGGACACACCTGGACCATCCCTGGACGTCAATCAGACAGATATGACACCTTCAGTTGGCAAACCTGTGGCTTCCCCATCCCATTCAGCACCCCAGGCAAAGGCAAATGACAACACTGGGAATGAAAAACTCTGCAGAAACGCCCTTTTTGAGTCCGCAGAAACACTTTTTTTCCTGAAGCAGGCTGGCGTGCACTCTGCAGAAGCCCTCGAACTCTGCAGTTCGGAAGGCCGGCATGGCTTTTTCTGCCGGGAGGTGTTTTTTTCTGCCGGGAGGTGTTTTTTTTCTGCCGGGAGGGTGTTTGTCTCTGGCAGATGACTTTTTTTCTGCCAAAAGCACCTGAAAACTGCACAGAATGGCTCGCAGAGTCGATTCATTGTTTGGCAGAAGGATTTTTCTGGAGCAATTATCGTTTGCAGCTTGACAATTACTTAGAGATGGATACCAGGCAGGCGTGACGAAACTAGCAGCAAATAAATAGCCAGTCTCTTTTTGAAATCTCAAGGCTGCGATGACATATATTGACATTTAATGCCACGGCACACTTTGGACCTAAGCCCTAACGTCTTCCTGCAAAACGAGAACCCCACATTAACTGTCTCATTAACCCAGACTCTAAAACGAGACCCCATTATGATGTCGAGGAATACATTAACCCACACTCTAAATCAAATCGAATTCGAACCTATTCGATTAAATCGACTCAGTCCCACCACACCGGCATATTTCAAAAGCACGAGTCACAGTGATGACGTGGCCCCTGTTGACTTCGAAGAAACATCCTGTCAGGTTCAACTCCCACAAGGAACTGGGAATGAAATAACTGCCCAAGAGAGTCGTGCTTTCATTCACACATCTATAAAACCGTTGCAAAAAGAGAGCAGTTTAGGGGGTTGGGGGATAAAATAGAGGATTCTACGGGAATTTTACTACTATTTGTGGAAAGAATCGTAGGTTGGGTAATATTTAAGGGTCAATAGTGGGGTAAATACCTGGTTTTCTAGGGCTTTTGGGTAGAATGGAGATGGCCCGGGGGGATGGGAAAAACGAGGGGCTTCATGTTCACAAATAAAAGAAGGTTTTTGGAGGGGGGGGGGGCTGTAGTATCAATGACCTGGAAGAGCTCGAACGTGTCTTTCGAATCCAAGGACGGCCACTTTTTTCGAAATGTCGCTTTGCCTCCGGCTT